CTCTCTCCCCCTAACCCCCTCTTCCCTTTTTCCTCATCCACGAAGACGCCCGGCCATATGCCATGCGGTACCGCTGCTGGTGTGGTGGTGGTATTACAAAGGGGTGTGTGACCTAACGCTTATGGCGTTGTTGCCTGCCGCCTACACTGTCATTCCGCTGTCATTAATGTAACAAAAACTGAGATCATATTTCCGCGTCATTTTGTTTCTCTCTCTTCCAACTGTTTTTTTTTTTTCAAAAAATGTTATTTTAGAAGTATTGTATTTAATGGTTGGCAGTTTAAAATGTTTTTAAATTATTGAAGAAGTTTTTCTGTTCAGCGAAATGCCCTGCCTCTGTCACGCCAAGTACAGTGTGAGAAATGGCCCCCACACCTCACACTTTGGAGTGACAAAAGTGTGCACTCACGGGATCGAGCTGCCAGACAAATGCACATACCTCATATTTTACTTCGGCATTTCATAAGTGGGGTCTCCCGCTCAAATCATGGGAGCTCCTACAAACTTTCCCATTTTCCTCAAGTATTTAGACATTTTTTTTAACCGTGTGGCCTGCTCCCCATGACCATCATGACGGCCCTCGCCGGACCGGGCCGCCTTGGCCTGGCCGCCTTTGCCCGCTGCTGCTTGGCAGGGTGACAAACTGCAGATGAAAAAAGTTGGACGGTCGCGACATAGTGTCTTCTTGCGCAAAGTGCGCGGCCGGGCCCAAGCCTGCGCGTCATTGTGCCCGTCTCTGTGACGTCACGTGACTGACTGTCAAGTTTGTTCCACCGCTCCTGTCGTCGTCGTCGTCCTGGTGACGTGCGTCGGCCTCCGCGGGGGCCCTTTCATATTCCTCAAACATTTTCTTTCTACCTTCATCGTCAGGTCGCGGGTCGCACATCAAAAACTGTAGTCATCATTTTTATCGTGACAGAACATGAGGTATATTTAGGAAAACCAAAGGTGCTATAAGTCCTAACTTTAAAAGCAGGCGCTACATGTCTCGTGCCTTTTAAAAAGGGAACTAAACCTGCCCATGGCACTTATTTTTAGTATCTTTAGGGCTCTAAACTGAAAATTTCTTTTCAGGCTTTAAACTGATCATCTTGGTTTTTCAATAGCCTTTTTATGGTTTTCGGGAGTTGGAGTACTGGTTTAATATAAATCAACTGATTTATTTCTTGCGTTGCCATATTAAAGTCATTTCATCATAATAATGTATTTTTTTTCCCTGTTTTGCAGGACAGCGGTGCTGGCGCAAACTCTTCCATGAATCGATAAAGTGAGTACGACGTTTTCGTCCCACATTCTCTCCCACTTTCCTCTATGCCCCCCCTCTCGCTCCGTCCTGACCCTCTGGCCCCTCCCCCC